GGATCCGAGATTTGGATCTGAGATTTGGATCCGAAACACGGCTCTTTTGACCCGACAGAACACAGAATAATAGTTCGGGTTTCGGGTACGAATCTCGGCTCGGATCCACCCGGATCTACTCGATCGCTACTCATTCAACAACCGGGTTTGCCAATATTCATGACCCGTATGTAAGCTTTCAAAAATAAATGTAAAGTAGCCATATTTTTCATTTTATTAAATTTAATTCACTTAAGTTTTTGTAAGTTTTGAAATAATAAGTTAACTAAGATGTATTACAGTTACACGCTGCTTTATTTTTAGGCATATAAAAGATCCGTTAAGATCCGAGACCCGTATTTGGAAAATTTTAAGATCCGGATCCGACGGGTCTTTTCAAAGATCCGGATCCCTGAGTCGGGTCAGATCCGACCCGCCCATCACTAAACAACATCTGACTCGGTAACATATTTGGGAATCCATTTGGATAAAAACTTAAAAATGACAGAACACATAAGAAAAACAGTTATAAAAGCAAACAAAATGATTAATACCTTATACAGAATAATGCCTAATATAGGGGGTCCCACAATGTTTAAGAAAAAATCATAACAAACTCAGTACTATCAGCTTCACTCTATGGTTGCCATATTTGGAATAAATCTCTAAAATTCAAGCACTATACCAAGCTAATAACAGGAGTAAACAGGAAACTATCTTTAATGACAGGCATCCGGATACATAACGTCACCTACGCAGGCAATTGAGGCAATAGCAGGACAAATACCTATTGACGAGTGTATCAATAAATTCAGGAAAGAATATAAATTGAAAAAAGAGGCAAATCTTACAAAAACCAATCAAGAAAAACAACCTTAGAACACTGGCAAGAGAGATGGAAAACATATGAAGGCCGGGCCAAAATTTTTATCAAAAACATAATCGCTTGGAAGCACAGGAAATTTGATGAAACAGACTACTACATAACCCAGGTAGACAGGACACGGCATCTTCGGTTCCTATCTAAAAAGTGTTCGCATGCTCTATCTCATGCTGGTTCTGCAATAAACCTGACACACCAGAACACACAGTCTTCGAATGCGCCAAATACGAACAACTCAGAGTAACAGCAAGACATATCTGCCATAACGAAATAAATAAATTAAACATCAGTGAACTGCAAATAAAGAACAAGAACAACTGGAATGCAATAACAAATATGTTAACAGAAATCATGAGGATAAAAAATATGACAAATCTGCAATAAACATAATAAATAGTTAGCGATAAATAACACAAATATACGTAAGCATAGACCCCCCCTTGAAGTAATGCCTTACAGGCGGTTCCAAGGCCACACATAGAAAATGGTGTTAGTCGGTCGACGGAAACGTTATCCCGGCACACACCCCCGGCGCTAGACTATCAGCCACAAAAGTAGTCGCTAGGAAAAAATGTGATCCATTCTCTAGGGTTATTTTATTACATAAATGAGTTGAAAATGCGCAATTTAACGATGTGTCAATTTGAAATTTATAGAAAAAATGGAAAATGTAAACAAACTAAACTTGTTTGATCAACTAAAAAAAGTATTTGTTCCCTGAAAGTTGTTAGCCTTATAAAATGATAATTTAGTGCAGAAACGTTATAAATATTGATCTTTTCACCAGACAGAAAAGTTGAAAACCAAATTTTCATCAATACAATTAAAATCAAGTCTTGAAGTAAATAGTCACCAACTAAACGTTGATATTGACATGTCGCGTGTTGAATCAGGCAATAAACTTTTTACTTCCTGGACTTAATTTTATTATTTTTCATTATTTTTTTTGACCGCCATGAACATTCCCGCATTCACCCTTAAATCATGCGCGGGGGCGACGAGTTCGTCAGGGTAAGAGGGTGGTTCGAAGGGCAGTCAGGAGAAAGGATCGAGAGAAACTGCGAGAGTCCGAGGTGTGATTGGTGCAAAAGATACTCAAAAAGACGCCACGACACGCGGACATTTTTAGTGACGCCGAGTGCAAAGAACCAAAAATCTTGCTTTTTCCGGAACATCCCTGCTCCTAGATTCAAAAAATACTTTTGGGCCAACCGCGGAACTATTGTGCGCGACCAGAGAAAATACTCTTTGCCAATCGCGGTACTTTGGAGAATCGTGCGCGACGCAGGTAGGCGAGATATAGACTCGACTTAATTTTAGTTCTGTGATTGTAGTTGTTGTTTTGGTTTCTTTTTTTTTATTGTTATCTGCTTGGTTATGTGCTATTGTATGCATGGCTTCTGGGCAGACTAAGTAAACTGAATTACGTCATTATAAGGGGGTACTACCCGTAATAAGTACCTGACATCCCTTCACGTGGCACACCATCACGTTTATTATTATTTTTTGTTGTGTTTTGAGATTTTTTATTTGCGCATCCACCAACCATCCAAAAATCTGAGAATTTCCAGAAGTACCATTCGCTCGCAAGTCGAGCGAATGAATAGGGGATCCTCTACGCCACAATATAATCAATTTTTCTTTATAGTAATTAAATTACAAGAATGAAACTTGCATTACTAAAAAAATAAGAATAAAACTTCCAAAGTATTATTACTCATTGCATGCAACGCTGAAAACATTTATTTATAGTTCAGACTGGACTTTTTTTTATTTATTGCTTATTTATGTGTTTGCTTTAAAAAAAAATAGGATTTTGATAAGCGAATTTTCAGTAAAGACTCCAATATCTCAGCTTTCAACAATAATTCGTTATTAGAGGCTAAATAAACATACTGTTTGTGATGGAAATCGCGGGGACTGCATACTGATACTTAAGAAAAAATGTTCCGTTTGAGTTTTATAACCATAGGATTCCTGCCCTAAATCGACTTACCGAATCGAAATGCCATCAGCCGTATGAACGTCATGTTGTTGTGTAAATTCAGCACCAGTAATTTCCCAAACTGGTTGTTTTTTGGGATCTCGAGCAACAAAATCCGGCACCATAGTTCTGGTACAATTAAGCCATCTTGGCACTTTACCAGGATTGCCGCTTATTTTTTCCATCTTGAGCTCGCTTTGCAGTCGCTCTAATGTTTTATCATCATGACCTGCAGGAATTACAATAACACATCGCTAAACAAAGAGTTTTATTGATAAATTTTGAAAATCTTACCTGTGTGCACTTTAGTGACCGTACAAAACGCTTTTGTTTCGGTGTTGTAACATCCCATGAGAAACACAGACATCATACCTCCTTTTTGTCCACTACCGTACCAAGCACCTAGCACTATCAAATCCGCACTGTCCGCCATGGCTCCATCAAACAAATAATCTTTTTTCACTTTGAGCCAAAGGCGTTTTCCGGGTTCGTAAATACTCATTGTGTCTTTTAAAACCAAACCCTCTAAACCTGCATACAAACAATCGATTGTCCCAATTGAACAGAAGATACACCAAAAATTACGATTTACATGCAAACAGTTGTTTGAATATCCATAACTATTCTAAATATAGGTTCAACTCAAGAATATTAACAAGTCCTAAATACGCTAAAATTGAAATCCTAAGTTCACTTGCAAAATTAATTGAAGGGGGACACCTTCTTGTTCTAACCCTCTACGAAAGATAGAAGTCACCCTTAGAATCTTAAATGGAGATCAATGGTACATCGTTTTACAGGGCGTTCAATTCTTGTGGTATCCTACTTTGCTTCCGAATAATCGCGTTTCAAAGTTGCAGAAACAATTAATCTTGCCTGCATTCAGATTTTGGTTTTCAGGTTAGTGTTTACACAAAAAAAATTGCATTGGGTCTCCTTGTAGTATAAACGATTAGAATATTAGGTTACACGGTTTAACTCGCTGAATAACAGGAAGAACAACAATTACTTTAATATATGTATATTGATTATTTTACTTCGACAAAAATAACTTTTTTTTGTGGAAGAGAAATTTCTACAACAAAACACATGAGATAGAGCGTAAGTAGATCTAACTTATAAGTTGTTTATGTATAAGTTGTTGTGTTATTGTACTGTAAACAATAATAAAGTATGTTTTCGAATTCCTCCCTGATATTTAGGAAAACTTGACCGGAAATTGACCGGTATTCTGCTGCAATTCTCCTTTTAAGATTATCAAAATCAGCAGGTTGTGTTTTATTAACAATGGATTTAAGACGTCCCGGGCGGAGACGAAAAGTCTAATGGTGGGTATTATAAAGGTCGGGTTAAACATCCGGCTGACCAACGGTCGGTTCACTTTCAACGCTGGGCACATTGCGTCAACAGAGTCAGCCAATCAATATCATTGCTTTCTTGTGAGTTCCGAGATATTGGAATCTGTATACAGGGTAGTTTTTTAGTGCGATAGAGCCCATTATTTCCGCTGGTGTTGAACTTTCGAAAAATAGTTTCATATAAAAGTTGTTGACGTACAAAGTGCGCACATTTTAAAAATGTCTTATATGATACAGAGTGTGTCAGAAAAGCGAGGTCAAAGTATATTTTTTTAAATAGAACTACCCATTTTTTACTAGCTCATGGAATTCACCTTAAAACGCTGCATATTATAACTATTTAATGAATTCCATAGCCACCTTACAAAATGTAACAACTTTTTGAAATTTTTAAATAAAATCATTTATAATTTGAAAACGGTTGATTCTGCATCTTAAAGTGTAAATGCAAATTTGTTACTTTGTAAATTGTCTATCTAATGACGTATTAATATACAGGTACTTCCATTTGAATAACAAAAGTTATATTGCGTTAAAAAGTTTTAGATTGAAGTCCACATTGTAAACACCCTGTACAATGTATGGATATTTTGGTTCAATAGAATTTTTAACGGATCTGTGGTGATTGGAAAGACGTATTGTTTTGTATCTTTAACTGCTTTTTTTTGCATTGATGCTTCTACAATGAATTTTTAGATACCATGTTTTTAATCAAAATTTTCTATTGCACAAAATTCAAAATCTGCCAACGTCGCATGTAAGAAAAAAACAATTTACAGTGCATATGCAGCGTTTCAAGCTGCACTCCATAAGCTAATGAAAAATGGGTAGTTTTATTTAAAAAAATATACTTTGTTCTTGCGTCGCTTTTCTGAGACACTCTGTATCATATAAGATATTTTTAAAATGTGCGCACTTTGTGCGTCAACAACTTTTATATGAAACTATTTTTCGAAAGTTCAACACCAACGGAAATAATGGACTCTATCTCACTAAAAAACCACCCTGTATATACATTATATCTGTATGTATGCATACTTATTTTAACATCCTACTGATTTAAATCAGATTCTTCTTGGTTCTCCACTCAATTCATAAAATACAGTATAAACTGTTCTCTATGATTCTTCTGCATCAAATTGGAAATTGGGGTCTGGAGTTAGACTTGGTTCATTCATGTTTTGCGCTATTTTATGCAATACTGCACATGCTACTCGTATAATAAGCGATTTTGTTGTATCTAGAGATAATCTCACACCAAGAGATAGTACAGGACAGCGTCGTTTTAGAACACCGAACACTCGCTCAATTGGATTTCGAGTTCTAATTTGAGTGTCAACAATACCAACCAAAAAAATTAACAGCTTCTAATTTGAGATTCATTAAATATGTTTTCTGCTTCTCTCTGTAGATTTGTAATTGGCGTGATTATATAACTTCAAACTTAAAGCATATCCAGAATCTCCAAGAAGTACGGAGTTGTTAAATTATCTCCTTTCAAATTGATTCTACAATTTACTGTTGCTAAAAATTGTTTCATGATGGGTTGAACCACGCTTCTACCTGTTTCGAATTCCCGGTTGAAATCTCAAACGAACCCTGTCTTCGGGTTGAGTCAACCGTCACTGAACCAGTATTTCA